ACAGCAAGGTACCTTAATTAACTAGTAAAAAATATGTAAAGAAAAGGCTTTGTATGAAAATACGGTGTTATAAACTCTTTTGGTTACAGATGGACGGTAAGAAAAAAAAAAAGACAGTATAAATGTAATGGCAAGACACACTTTTTTGTAAACACTGAAAGTTGTTGAGGTATTTTGGTGTCACTGGAGTTACAGTACACACTGAACAATGCAGCAAAGTAGTGAATATAGGCCTCTGTGCAGTAAAGGTTACAGAAAACCAAAAGGTATCCAAACGCAGCGGTCAGGTTAGTCTAAAATTAAGGAAGGGCCAATAAAGCTTAAAACAGGGTTTGATGGCACTAGAGGCCATTTAAAAACTAGCTTTGGTTCAGCCTGCCAAGGTAAGGATCACTTCCAAAATAACTAGAAAGAACTGCCCCTTCATAATAACATTAACATGACAAAAAAAGCAAAGGCGGATTGCTAAAGCATCTAAAAAATAAAAAAGGCGAACGCTTCATGTCACTTTTAAAGCTTTTCTAACACTGCATAATGATATGGGTTTTAGTTAGTTTTAGCAAATAATAACGACGAGGTAAGAAGAGAAAGAGAAAACCGTCAGGTTAATTGGAGCTGATATGAGAGCCTCTCAAGGGGCTTTAAAACATATACAAAGTGCACTTAGTAAAGCTATCCCATCCAATGTTTCTAAAGACACAAAACTGCTAAAGTGAATTTAAGAGACACTGAAAGTGAAATGAGATGAAAGAAGTGGTTTCAGACAAGGAATTTAACAGTGAATTATGTGCATGTTTCTGCTTTGTAGAGTTTTTTTTTTTCTCTCCTTCAGCATCAGCAGCATGGCAACACCCAGGGTGAGCAAGTTTTAAAACATACAGCAACCTCGGCTCTGCACAGGCAGCAACAGTGTTGTGCCCCAAGTCCACAGACAAAGACACAGGGAGAGCCAAGGTTCAGATCCCCTCTGTGTCCAGTAAGTTATAACTCAAAACAATGTGGGCAAAAATAAAACAAAAACAACACACCCAGAATTAAACAATGAAATAAAAACTCTACAGACTGTCAGGTGTAATTGCCATAAATGACCATTCTCTTTAAGTTGAATAAAACAAAACAAAAAATAAAACATCAGGTCTTCCCTCCTAAAAAAAAAAAAGAAAACATCTTCACAGATTATGGTTAATGGCTATGTTTTGCGTCTCATTTAAGATTCAGCTTGAAAGTCATCAAAAACAAAACAATACAAAAGGGGGGTCCTGCCTTCACATCGGCCTCACAACATTGAGAAAATTCTTTAAAGAGGTGAGGGCAGGCCCCAGAAATAAATACATTCATCACCGACTATAGACATTTGATAAAAAAAAAGAAGAAAAAAAAAAAAGAGAACACTGTCAATAAGTGTTTGCGCCAATGTTGTTTGAGGCTCGGCCAGCCAGAGGATTGCTCTGCATTTGTTAACAGAATACAGGCAATTTTGAATGATATAAGCAAAAACAAAACAAGGAACATTCACAGTTAAGACTACCATACGAGCCTGTTTATATGCAAAAAAAAAATCAAACAATAGAACTTTATCCAGATAGGTTTAAGGAGCAACCAGTCAGAGGTGGACCATGGTAGACGACTATTAAAAAGGCTCAAGTGGAGGAAGATTGCCTCAAGCGTGTTTGGGTAAACACAGAGACAACATTGAGCTAAAAAAGCCTGACCAACAAAAGCCTTTTTGATTAATGCATCAAGGATGTACCCCCCCACCCCACCCCCCAGTAGTCTGATTTGAAGACAGGCCAGAGGGCAGGAGTACTGGGGTGCAGGGTCACCCCAAAGCCACCTGGCAAGGAGGAGACAACACAAACCCTCCCCTTAATTAAATATGCAATATTGCCCTCCATATTTAATGTTCTACTTCTGTTTTGGCAGCAACATATGTGGAAAAATCATATAAACACAACTACTACAAAACGTCAAGAAAATGTTTTATTCTTTGACTGGCCGAACCTCAAGTGAGGTCTGTAAAACTGTCAAAGTTTATGTAAACAATGAGATAAATACATATGTTTCTTTCTTTTTTTATTTTTATTTTTTATTTTAGAGCCACACATGGTTCCATTATCATTCAAATGTGCTTTGGTTTAAAAAATAGTTTGTGAATTTGGGTATGAGCTTTTTTTTTTAATCATTTCTTTCTTCTAAGTTCTTTGTACAAGTTTGCAACCATTTCTGCACATAATTTGTAACTAAAGAATGTAGACTTTGTTTTGAGCTGCCTCGCCTTTTGTCAAGGCTTTTTGTGTTAGTTGAAAAAGATTCCCCCTGCTCATCTTAAATATGAAACTAGTGTTTTTTTTGTTTGTTTTTTTGCTTCTCCCAAGTTTAAAATACAGAGAAACCAATAGAATGCTTTATATAACAAATGCAGCTGAGAGCCTGCATTCACACACGCAGAACAATCCCTGAAGTACTTGAAGAGTAGTAGTACTAGTAGTAATAATATTAGTAGTATGGTCACAGTTTTTTTTCTTCCTTGTTTCGAAAAAAACAAGCAAGCTTTGATAACGGCTGCACAAAATTAACAAAAACAAAAAATCCTTTGCAGAGATGGCTAGAGATAATGTTGTACAAACAGCTTTGCATTACAGACATCGGGCTGCAGTGCATCAAGTGCTGACAGGTACAATAACGTTTGAAGGCAATGCATTAAGGACTCCTGCCTTACCTAGAAGAGGTAAGAGGTAAAAAATTATGTTTGTTATTTCAAGGGGTTGCTGGGAGTGTGACAAATCCCTGTGTACCATGCAATGGGAAGTCAATATTAAATTAAGTAAAAAATCTGGGAGTCCAGGATGCAAGTACCTTAAAACTATAGTGATGTTTGCTCAGCTTCAGAGAACATGTCATAAACCATAACTGGAGTATGAAGGAGGCATTACCACATAAAAAAAAAAAAAAAAAATGATAAAGCCTCGAGGACACTTAAATTAACATTACAGAGGAATGCCTATAACAAAAACTTGCATTGATGGTTAGAGTTTTAGGAGTAGATACACTGAAAAATGAAAACAAACATAAAATGATCCATTTTCTGTGAGTACTAGGTATTTTGCCCCTTAACCATTTTGTACTTTTGGTCCTTATTATTTTATTGATTGGATCCAGTGATTTAAAGTAGTATTGTATATCGAGTAGTGCACTCTAAGGAATTATGGTTAAAGGACTACAAGACAATAACTTTGGACATCAGAAGGTCACAGATTTACTGAGTTATTGATCAGGGGGCATAACCTGTAATATTCCATAAATGTCAATTGGCCAAGAAATCAGTTAGGGTATTATGTAGCATCGAAATTAAACAATTCAAATTAAATAATATAAAGCGTGCTTATAACCATTTATCCTCAATGTAAAAAAAAAATAAAATTTTAAATAACTGAACTAACAAATACACAGTGGTTTACAGCTGGATTCCCAATGTGAAATTAATGTACAATTTGAAACAAACTGTAAAATAATTTAACTGGCAGTCTACAGTTGCATGATGTGACAAGCTCCCAAAGAGCTGATTAAGTACATTAAAGACTAAAAGTGAAAAAAATGAAAAATATCAAAGTACGAGGCTGAAGTTTTGTGGGAAAGCCCCTGCTGTATTACTGCTTCTAACCGACTTCTCATTACTGTCCAGTGGATCTCTGCTTCTGCTTTTATATTATAAGTTTTCACATATCAGGCTCAGAAAAGTAAAAAGAAATGGGTAACTAAAACTTCACATTAAAATTGCAATTATAGATCCTTTGTTTCTTCTTTTGGTCTGAACAGAACACATAACTGTCATAAAGTCCAGCTTTTATAGTCCGGGCATATAAAGTGATAAGGACTCTCAATACAAAAATAAGAAAAAAAAAAGAGAAATGGGACAAACATGCTCAGTGAGCACGTATTAAACTTTACTATTCACCTGACCCCTCACAACAGTAGGTGGTAGTTTGTACATCCCCACCAGCCCACCAATCAGCACAAGTTTTTCCTTGCAAAACCACAAGAACCATCGACAGCCTCAGAGTTATCAGCCAAAACAATCACAAAAAAGGTGGATTTCTTTGTCTGGACATTAGAATATAATTCTTAATTTGTTTTATACAGCAATAAAAGAAATCAAAAGAGAAATAATTTAGTATGCTATATATAAGTACATCTTTCTTAAAAACTTTGGTTACGAACTTGTCTAGCAATGTTTGTTAGTTAGCTCAGTTCTCCTTGACATTCATAAGATCTTTGGAACACTATACATCTACAACTAACCATCCAACCACTATTTGCTCATGGCAGCAAGCTACAGTACATTTTGAATTGGGGGCCAGAGTGGTCCGAGCCCCAGAAAAATAAAGAAAAAAAACTATACCTTGACAAGTGTATATGACAGCTAGAAACAATCTAAACATGTAAAACGTATGAGCATCAAAAACCTGTGTTGAGAGATGGGCAGGTTAAAGCATTAGGTGAGAAGTTACATAATCTACACACTTTATACAATTAATTACATAAGCAACTTTTAACTAAATTCAAAAAAGTTTGTAAGAGTAATCAGAGGTAGCGAGGTTACAAGCCTATATATAAATAGACTTCTTTTTTTTTTCCAAGGGGAGGAAAGCTATACAGAAAAATATAACGTACCCACCGAACACAGTGTTCGGTTTCAAACACCCCCCTTATCCTTCCCACCCAGCCCTAAAACCGCGACCCCCCCACCCACACTTGACAAGAAAAATCCCAAGACCTTCCAGTTTAAAACATTCACTGAAACATGACAAGCTCTTAAAGTATGAGTACTACCACATAGGGTTTTCTCTTTCCAGCTTCTTTCCTTGGAGCACTAGCAAGCAAACCTAAACAACCAAAATGATAAAAACTCATCTACATCAAAGCAAAAAGCCACAGAGAGGACACTGGTTATTCGTTGTCTTAAACTAACAAACAAACAAACATGTCCTCCTGAGAAAAGCCTTTCTTTCTTTCTTTCTTTCTTTCTTTCCGTCTATGCTTTCAGGTAAGCACAGAGATGGTCCCATACCCAGTTATTCTCCCTCTGTCATACATACAGCCTCACCAACACCATAAAGGATATAAAGCTGTCAGGATAAAAATTTTCTTTTTGCTGAATTATTGCCAGTTATGTTTGCACCGACTTTTTTTTGGTCAAAGGTTTTTTTTTTTCTTTAGGAACAATGGGGAAAGAAATTCTTAAGATTCATGTTTGTCTATGAAGAGAGGAAGGCGGCTGAGGGGTACGAGGTGCCCACATTCACATTTAACCAGTTGTGCCTCTTCACCATGGCTTTGTGACTTTGGAGAGAGACACAAAAGTAAATAGTCCCTCTAAAAACTCCTGAGAGGCGAGCACACATTATTCGCTTTAACCATTGACGCTATCCTTGCATCAATGGGATCCCAGCGTCACCAACAGAGATCACTGCTGCGAGCAGCTACACCATTCACTCAGCCAATACGTCATAAACTGGAATCAGTATCAAGAACTGTGTTTGTCTTATGTGTGCGTTTCTTTGCTTCAGAGATGGATAAAAGGTGGAGAATTGTTCCTTTTTCTCTATTCCTGTAGTTCTTTGGCTTGATGCGTTTCTAAGAGGGTGAGGTGTGCATTCTCAGGTGACTGATGAGGTTGCGCTGCTGGGTAAACTTCCCACCACATAACTGACATTCGTATGGCTTTTCGCCGGAGTGGACTCGCATGTGCTCCGTTAGGCGATACTGCCGCGTGAAGCGCATGCCACACTCTTCACATGCAAACGGCTTGAGGCCCAGGTGGCTGCGCATGTGGCGCGTCATGGTTCCCCGCTGGGTAAACATTTTGCCACAGATGTTGCAGGGGAATGGCCTGGTCAACCAATGGCTCTTTTCATGCTGCCTCAGAGTTGCGGGGTCTTTGTAGCTCTTGCTGCACACCGTACACTTGAATGGACGCGTTTCAGAGACGAAGTTTGAGGGACCTACGGGGGCGGAGAGGTCCTCTGCCTCTTCTTCATCCTCTTCTTTTACAAAGGTCCCTCCCTCTTCTTTTATGTAGAGCTCATCTTCAGTGTGGGTCTCCACATGAGCATTGAGCTGCTCAGAGCTAGGGAAGCCCTTACCACAGGGAATGCACACATAGAGGTTGTCCCCAAATGCTGGCTCAAAGCCTTCCTGCCGGTAGACGTAGTTGGCGCTGTGGTGTCCCCCTCCAGCTCCACCTCCGCTCTCTCCATCACTCTGACCACTTTCTTCACTGTGATCTTGGCCATTTTCTCCTCCTTCTTCCTCTTCTTTACACTGGAAAGTGTGTTCAGACACAAAGCTGTTACCACTGCCTCCACCAGCACCAGAGGTGCGACCATCTTTAGGACCTACAATCACGCCGTTAACCAGAGGCCTGTCATGATCCTCGGACTTCAACCCCAATGCATCTTTTTTGGGCCATTCATTCTTACGAGCAGCATGTCGGGTTTTTTTCTGGGGTGGCGGGCCCTCAGACTGGTTATGGGAGTCCTCGGGTGTTTTGGAGGAGTTTAGCTCCATGTTCTCTGAGACACATGTGTCCACACCTTGTAAGGTGGTTGAGGAGTCATCCAGAGAGGCACTGTTGGTTGTGGATACTGAGGCAGATTGGGGGGACTCTTGGTTGCTGTGTGGGCTGAGGGCATCAGTGGCTGTTCCGGCAGAGTGAGGACTCTTCTTGGACAGATCTAGCCCAAGATCGGGTTCTCCAGGACATGCCCCACTGCTGATATTACCATTACTGCTGCCATGACTACCGTTCCCAGTTTTTCCAGAGCTCCCGACAAACATTTCGTCATCTGACAGTTTGTCCCGAAGGCTTTCATCTGGCTGTGGTTGGTCAGCCTCGGAAGGGGTTGGAGGATAGTGGTTATTGGGACCAGTAGGGGTAGAAGAGGAGAGACGCTGGTTATTGAGGCGTAAGCGGCTGAGTGGTCCTGGCGTGGAGGGTTTTCCTGGTAGCGGTTTCCCACTACTGCGCTTGAGCTTCTTTCTGCACAGAGCAGCGAGGTCATGTAGCTGGAGGTAGCTGGCTGCGGTCAAGAGGGCACTAAAGTTTTGCTCGCTGCTTTGGTCTGACGAAGACAGGAGCTTTCCAGTATAGATAAAGTCCAGAACTTGTCTGAACACAGAGGGGTTCACCATCTCTGTGTCGAGGTTAATAAGGTTATCGTGGAGGACCAGAGATTTGAAGTAAATGCTGCTGGCTGCCAGGATGTTCTTGTGGGCACGAAAGAGAGCATTCTCCACCACGATGATAACATCACACAGGAAGCCCTTGGCTCTCTGCTGGTTAAGTTGCAGCAGCAGTTGTTTGGCATGATTTGGCAGTTCCATTTCCTCCTTCCTTCTCTCTCTCTCTTCCAACACGTGCACCGCCTAAAGCTGAAACAAAAAGAAAAGACTGTTAGGACAGATGTATTTTAAGATGAGCAATATGATAGAGAGATAAGCCCTCCATTTATTGTACCCACTTAATTGTTGGCAAATTCGGAGGTATGCCCAAAGTTGGTCCTCGAGGGACATTGTCCTCAAAGTTTTTTGAGGTTTCTTTGCTTTAGCACAGCTGATTCCGATGAGTATAGCTCAGCAAAAATCTGCTTATATGCCATCATTGAAAATCAGCTGTGCTAAAGAAGGGAAACCTCTAAAAACTGCAGGACAACAGCACTCGAGGACCGACTTTGGGCATGTCTGGTTCAGAGAGAGCAGGTACACCCTGGACAGGGCACCAATCTCTAACAAGGCCAACACGGATAACAGATAAATTCCAACAGAGAGAACCCCATCTTGAATACATAACATAAACACCTCTAAAAGCTATGCAACTGTACAGCAAAGTCAAAATAGGGAGTGAATAATTCTGCAGCTTAAAAAGCATTAAACATTAAAGTCTAAAAAATTAGGTATATTAACATTTTAAGCATAACAGTCAAAACTGTTTTTGAACAAAGTTAATGTTTACATGACGCAATCAAGTCGCATTTCTCCATAACTCCACTGCTTTAAAATAACCAATTTCAAGAAAGAAACTCCAGAAAATAATTTCCATAAAAGGAGAAGATATTTTTCTGACAAGTGAATGCTTAATACTCAAAACATGGTTATGCTGACCACAAAAATCTTTTTGTGGATGAAGTTACTAAGTGAAGGTATTTTCAGTGCCAGGTATTCACTAACAATTTAGTCAGAGAAAGCAAAAATATAACTATTTAAAAATGAATCTTTGCTGATAAATGGAGTGAAGCAAGGCTGCTCCTTCTCAAATATGAAACTTGCTGAATGCGTTCAGTATGTCGATCAATATGTCAATATGTTTTAAAAACTCTAAATCATGTCACAGACTCTGCATCAAGCTGACCATATCAATGCATTTTTTTGCACCATGTTTTTTTCTCCCACAATGTTTACATTTGATCACTGCTGCACTTTAATAGAAATGTCATGAGAGCTGTACAAAATCAAATTTCATTTTGTATGCACTCTGCGTAAACAAAATTACAAAGTTTTTCCAAATCTAAAAAAAAATTGGCATATTTTAAGACATTTTAGAGTGATTTTAAGGCCCATCTGTAGAATATAGACACCGAAATAGGCCTTTTTTGTAATGCCAGCTTCTTTTACCACCAATATAAGATGCTACAAACATACTAGCATGCTAGGTATGTGATTATTATGCTTTCATTTTAAAATGATAGTTACACCCCGTTTTACAATAAATGCTCTCACATGGCATGACAGTGTCTTTTCTCCCATTGTGAGTAACGATCAAGGTATCCCTTTGATGTTATAGCTCTTATATAAGAAGTTGCAGGTCAAACCTTTACAAAATCTCCAGATCAAAAACTGGTGACAAACACGTGACTAGCACATCCACAATGAGCACAACAGGCCAGAATAAAGCAGTACATAAATCTGAAGCATGGCTTCCCTTTCATCTTCTCTCGCAACAAATTACTACCCCATATGGATCAAGTTCTAATTGTGCACAATGCTGCCGTTTTGGCACAAAGACCAAAGGGTGGAGGGAAAAGAGAGGGTTAAGGTAACAATTTTCCAATTCCAGTTCCTCCTCTAAGCTCGTTTTCACTACTTTATCAGAGAAACTCTGGTTTCTGTGCGGTGCCCTCCACGGAAACATGCCTCTCCAGTCTCCATTAGGTCATGGTAATGTCAGTCTTGCCCTAATGTCTGAGGGTGGGGGTCGGTGGCACAACAGTGCTGGAGGGTAGGATTAGGTGACACCTGAGCAGGTAAAACTACACAGGAGCACAGGCAGAGTGAGAGGGGGAGGGGAGGGTGTGGCTCAAAGACAAGGACACCACCACTTGATCCTCCAAAGGGGCCTTCGTTTATGGAATTAGGACAAGTGAATCTCATTCACTGATGACCTACAATGTATAACATTGCTCTTTATCCCTTCTGACACAGAGAGCCATGTCTGTTACACCAATTTTCAGGTATATGTACAAAACTATTTCTGAATTGGTAGCAGCAGGTCTTGCTTCTGGCAGGAAATCTGTCTTTGGCAAAAGTTAAACATGTTCTGTAGGATTTGGGCACGCTGGTAACATTCAATACCTCTGATCACACCAGGATAAAGGTTATTAAAAGAGATTAAAGATTAATGCAGATAAATGCTTTAACTGAGCCCCCACCCCTTCACCAGACGCTGTGGTGCACCCCTCCAAAATTATGACCGCAGACATCAAATCTACATCCACTCTACACTATGTGTATTTCCTGTTTGGTACCTTATCGGCTTGTTTTGTTTGTATGACCGCCATTGTGGAAAACGACTCATGAAGATGGATCAGCTAGAAGAGAGGTGCACAAGAATGCTGAGACCCTTTTTACACCTGGATCCCCACTCTTTTTCGCCCTCATGCTCCTCCGTTGTTGCACAAACTTACCCCCACTTCCTCACCGCCTCAGCTGTATCTAGACCCACAGCTAGTTCCCGATTGTCCCTCTTGCGTTGTGGCGTGGAATAACATAACGCAGACCACGCTCAAATATTGGGCATAAATTAAAAAATATCTGTGACAAGCTGGTTATACTCCTGCAGCAGTGCGTCGCAGTGAGGATGCACCATAGTGTCTGCACTATGGTATGCACCATGTGCTTCAAACCAACCTTTGTTATCTGATTATTAATTGAACAAATGGTGCTAGCTGTGGGCTTAGTATAATTCAAAAGTTGGAAATATTCTTTAAACCCTTCCTATAAAAACCTCATCCTAAATGAGTTTTCATTAGTAAAACCAGCAATAAACAATGCCCTTTTAATACTTAAAAAAAGAAGGTTTAGACAAGTGGCCTTGCATCATAACCCATCAAATTGTAATCCCTTATATGATCGCATATCACTATGACTGGTGTAAAGCTGCCTTCTACCTAGTGGAGCATCTTATACCACCTCATTGGCTATGACACTAATGCGAAACAAAGATGTTAACAGCCCAGCTTATAGCTGCCCCTGAAAATTGCTTATAAAATGTTGCGATCTTTAATTTACCCTTAAGCAGGTTTCAGAGAAACTCAGGAAATGATACTTAATTTTGTAGAGAAAAAGGTTTGATTTGTTCTCAGAGATCTTTAGTTAGGTGCCCTTCATTAAGCAACTGCTTTTTATTTGAACAAAGAAAAACAGGACCTCTGGGTATAGAACTAGTTATAATAGTGTGGCTAATTTGTGCATATTCTGCCTTATTTTATCAAGTGTTTGTTTTTTCTATAACTATTTAAAAAACAGACAAGGGAAATTTCAGAGAAAGCAATCACATTCTGACCATCATTCTTTAGGTAAATTACCAGACGGCAAAACCCTCCAAAACAAACAGCAACAATGTTAGACTAAGAGTCATTAAGATGGAGTCCCTTTCAAGCAATATTGAACATGTTTTAAGTGCAACAAGGTTAGAATTGTAAACGGTGGTCTGTCACAGTCTGACTGGCTGATACAATCAGCTGAAGTAATCATTACTCCCAGCTCCACGCCTGGGCTTGCCTCATCTGCTGTGACACTTCTCCTCATGGTCTTCCTCCCTTCCCCCGTCTGCTTTTAGCGACACATCTTTTCCTCTTTCATCTTCCCCACCCTCCCCACCATGTCTCTGGGCCTGAAACCACGTCCCATGAACATTATACTGTCCCTAATGTTAATCAGAAAGAGATGTTCTGGAATACATAACCCATATCTGTTATTCACAGTTTCAATATAAGGGGGTCTACAGCACTCGACCCTGCAGGCGGTAATGGAAAAGAGAGCTGCAGAAGAAAAGAGAGCCTTGGCTACGATGCCAGCCAGGAAGCCATATATCATTCAAGTCTCTTACAACAACCACCTTTGCATGCTTTACGGGGGATCCAAGAGGCTTTTCCTGCAGGCCAACATTAAAAGGGGGCTGGGCAAGAGCAGGAAAAAAACAGTGCAGGAGTAAAAAAGAAAAAAAAATGCCCTCCCCCACCTTCCTACTTCTTCTTCTCATCCCTGGCTCTCCCTCCTTTCCCCATCACCCACTCGGCCACACTCCCCTGGCCCCTTCAGTGCTGTGCCATGCAGGCTGGATTCCAGGGGGCTGCTAATGGATTACTGCTGATCTATATGCGGTGAGGGTGGGATACATGCACCAAACTCTCCCTCTAATAATGCTGCCCAGAAAAAGATATGTATAACAGCAGGTTAAAAGATAGACCCCCAACATCATGACACCTCCATCTGTGGATGAATGAAATTTTCTGTAACATCCAAAAGCTCATCAGTAACATTAGTTCTTTGAGAATATAGTTCTGATTCTGCAAACATAAGGCCCTGTGTAATCATCAGTTTTACATTATTTTTGTTTCCAGAAGTAGAGATATTTAGTTTTTTAAGTGGGAGATTTAAAAACAGTGACCCTTGGAATATAAAATTGGATTTTCACAATAAGAAACTCTGTCAAAATGCACTTCCTGTTGCACATAAAATACACATTCAAATGTACATAATATACATTTTATTTTCAATTCTGACAAACTTTATTGCATAAAACTATTCTAAATTGGATTGAGCATCTTATACTGGTGATAAGCATAACTTATTCAGCTAAATGCATGAAAACAGTAGCCTTTTGCATGTACCTTTAGAATGTAGACTTTCCTTTAATCCAGTGGTGTTCAAGTCCAGTCCTCAAGAGCTATAATCCTGTAACTTTTAGATGCACCTCTTCTCTAACACACCTGAATCTAAACACTCATTCCTCTCATTTAGCCCAGCAGAGGCATAGTAACAAGCCACTCATTTGATTCAGGTGTGTTAAAAATGGGGTGCATCAAAAAGTTGCAGGATTTGAGGACTGGACTTGTACACCACTGCTAATCTATCTCAATCTCTTTGATACCTTT